GGGCGGGTGGGTGGGTGGGTGGGTAGGTAGGTAGGTAGGTAGGTAGGTAGGTAGGTAGGTAGGTAGATAAATAGATATATTGATAGGGAGATAGATAGATAGATAGATAGATAGGGCCCACGATGCAATGCTCCAGAACGATACAGGTACATGTGTACAGAAGTCTGACGTCCTGTCCTATGTGCGGTTATGTTGCACCCAGTATGTATATATCTGTTTATCTACCTACCTACTTATCTATTTACCTATGTCTCTCTCTGTCTACCTAGGGAATGCTCAGAAACTTGGATCAAACGGATCCCAGACTTTGTAGAATCTGGGCTATTCAGACCCATCCTGACGCCAACTCCACAAGCCCAGTGTGCGAAACTTCCAAGTTGTCGTCGCGACTTCGTCAACTTCCTTGTCACCTGAGAGGAGCTGTCGTGCTCAGCCCATGGGCCGCTTTTGCAGAAGGTTCAACAGAGGTTCTGTTTAAGGTTTAGGGTTTAGGGTTTAGGGTTCTGTTTAGGGTTTAGGGTGATCAGGGTCGCAGAGGGGCTCGGCGCTTGCACAAGGCTTCTATAAGGAGTGTAGACATGCTGCGTTTGCTTCAAATGTTCTTGAAACTACATATGTCATATTTGGACCATCTTGAAAAGCATCACTACCCTAAAGCCCTAAAAAGAAAGAACTAAATCACCGAGTCTCGGTTTCTGTGTCCCATTCCAAACGCTCCTGGTTTCCTTCTGAACTCAAGCTGATCCGCTGCTCTGGGCCTCCCGCAAAAAGATGAGATGGGAGGGGTTTAGGGCATATAAGGGCTTATGGGGTTTAGGGTTTCTGGCTCTGTTCCGGGGTTTAGGTCGCAGGGCCGTGGACCGATCCTCGACAAGGTTCGTGCCGGCCTTTTGAGAAAATTTGGTTGTGAACACCGCAGACCCGTACCCAGATCCCGAAACTCGAAGCACCTTCGACTACAGATACCCTGAGTTCTAAATTCTAAAGCCTAAACTTTACTCCCTAAATGCTCCATCGAAGCTTCGAACCGTGAACAGCCAAAAAGTAGACCGGACACCTGCAGCATCCTGCAGCCGTTATCAGACGCCCTGTAGGAGCCGTTAGAGCGAGCCATGTCGCTGAAAGTCAATGTGGTGGACCTGGCCGGACACTCGTTGGAGCTCGAGCTTCCTGCCAAGGACTTAGATAGCCAATAGGCCAATAGGAGAACTTTATACTTTTTAGCCTTATCTATTAGGTCTATCCTAAAAAGTTTGAACTTTTTTGGGCCTGGTTGTTGAAGAAGAGAGAGGAGACGGTGAAAGCCATCAAGGATGCAGTGGCTACGCCCTGGGACCTGGATCCGCGAACCTTTCGCTTGCTAGCACAAGCCGAGCAGATGCATGAAGAGAAGACGCTTGAGAGCTTTCTCTCGGAAGGTGAAAGGGAGGTCCAGGTGCAGCTGCTCAAGTTCGACCCGCTCTGGAATTTGGGGCAGTTTGTCCGTTCAAAGCACCGGGGCATTCGGATCTCTGGTGAGTGGCGCAACATACTGAAGCCGGGTTGCCCAGTAGTACCCCTTTTCCATTTTCATTCTGGGGTTCCAATATTTAACCAGAGCATCAGGATTGTTTCTTTTTTATTCTGGGGTTCCCTTAGTTAACCATAGCATCAGGAAAATTGTTTTGTTTTTTATTTTGGGGATCCCTTATTAAACCCGAGTATTAGGAAACGTTGTCCTTTTTATTTTGGGGTTGTTCCCTTGTTAAACCACAGTATTAGGAAAAAACCCTAAACCCTAAACCCTAAAGCCCTAAACCCTTTTTTTTTAAGGGTGTACGCGTACTGGGCAACCTAGGAACAAGACCCAGGACTTCCCGGATTCCAACAACGTCTTCTTGCGCCATGGGATTCAGGAGCCTTCTTGTCAGGGTTTAGGGTTTAGGGTTTAGGGTTTAGGGTTTAGGGTTTAGGGTTTAGGGTTTAGGGTTTAGGGTTTAGGGTTTAGGTTTAGGGTTTGGGGTTGAGGGTTTAGGGTTCCATGGGATTCAGGAGCCATGCTTCGTAGAGTTTGAAGTCGTGCGTTGCGGAGATGAGATGTCGTTCGGTGTGACCTACGACAAGCGGGTGGTGAAGCTTTCAGACCACGACAACCTTGACACAGACACCACGTGGATCTTCTCCAGAAAGCGGTCCATGCCTGTCTTCTTCCTTGGTGGGAAAGAGATAAATCCTTCCGACGTTCCGGGTGTACAAGAGGGTGACGTCATCGTGCTCTATGCAGATCCTGAGGCTCGCCTGGTGGAGTTCTACTGCAACACGAAGCTGGTTGGATCCAGTGAGTCCCTCGAGGTTCCTTTGCCACAGGCTGATGGTAGGCCTTTGTGGATGTATGCCATGGTGGACCAAAGGGGGGATGAGATCAGAATCAAGCGGTTTGGCCCCGGCAGGCCGTACCTTTGAAGCGGCCATCTCTTTGCCACGAGCTCCTTAGCTTTGTACAGGAAAGCGGGTGTCTGAAAAGAGCAGACATCTTCGGAGAGTGATGTCCTTTGTTTGGCCTTTGGCTGCATCCACAACTGACCCGCAGGGGGGTTGAAAGTATACCTTTATTGCTTGACTCAATTGCATGGGGCTACATAACTGCAGTGATTTGGGCTCAAGCGGCCAAGTCTCCGAATAAGCTCTGAGGAGCCAGCTGCTTCAATAAATGCGGGTGGTTCTGAGTCATGTCAGAGAGGTCTGGGGTAATGTAGGGGCCCTAAAAATTACCCCACAATAGTACGGGCAATTACTTCGGCCCCGATATTATACCTTACCTCAGCTCAACACCTTTCCCCACGTGCGTCGGAAGCATTGCGCTACGAGGTTCACGGCAATGTCTCGGTTCGCATAGGGACCGTAGCAATCGGACGGTTTCGGGTTTAGGGTTTTGGGCTGTAGAACACAACTAGTACTTGCAGAATCCCTCACCCCAAATCCTATGTCCGATGGCCGAGTTGAGACGGGCAGTGCCTGCTTTAATTTTCAAAACACTGCCCCCCCCGTCATGGCAATGCTGCGTCGGGCGGTGCTGACCCACTCGTCATGGAGGCTATGTTCTTAGAGCTTGGCATTTATGTACAACTTGAGTTTTGGATCTCGGGCTGGGTAGCTGGAAATTGCAGGGTTTGCTGATTGAAACTCCGAGATGTTGATGAGGGGTGTATTTTGGATTCGGGTTTGTTGGTGGCTGGTGGAGTGCGCTACCGGCAGGTCCCTCCTTTTTGTAAGCTGTATGCAACACACGTCGCAAATCTACATCTCAATCAGAGAAGGCTCTTCCGCATCCTCACCCTAACATAGGGGTATAAACCCTGCTCAGATGTTGCATGCCCTACGCTGCCCCCTCTCTCCCTCTTCACTCTTCGGAACGACTGCATCAGAGACCCTCTCTGAACTTGTCGGACCTTATCGGTACCAGAAGGGTTTGGGAGTTCAGGGGTGTAGGGCCGGGGGTTCACGGTTTGGGATTTAGGGTTTTGGGCTTTGCCACAAGTGGACACTGATACCTGCCTTGGCACAGATTCGTCTCGTTCTGTCAAATTCCCCTCAAAACTCTGATACCCCAAACCCGACACCCTAAGCAATACACTACACTCAATCCCCGGTCCCGCTGAAACCACATAGAGGCCCATCTCTAAATACCCTGGAAACCGGCTTTTCCGAGCCTCAGAAGCTTGTGCAGGAGCTGCCAAGGCTGCAGAAATCGGGTCACATTGCTCGGGCCTTTGCCGAACCAGATCTTAGGATAGGGTGTAGGGTCCAGGGTTTACAACCCTAAACTCTAAACCCTAAACCCTAAACTCTAAACCCTAACCCTAACCCCCCCCCACCCCCCTCCCCCCCAAAAAAAACTAAACTTATGGAGTTTGGAGCAGGCTCAGGGCTTGGCGTGTTTACGGCTCAGGGTTCCTGAGGGCTCAGGGTATACAGGTGGGGCTTAGGGCTCCGGGCTACCGGGCTTTAGGGTTTTGGCCAAGGGAAGCGCTTCTGCATCAGGGGTTCAAGGGGGGTGAGGGCTTCTTACTGTCAAAGCTCTTTCTTGCCGAAAGTAGCCCGAATCCCAGTGCGCAGACAGGCAGTTCTTCCGATTGAAAAGATGGGGCTTCGATCTTTGCCTTTCAGAACCCTCCGCAGTGGGGTCAGGCCATTCATGATGCGGAATTGGCAAGCCATGCTTCCGCAATGAAACCCCACGTACTCAGATCCCACTTCGGGCATAATGATGTGCAGCACCGTTTCTCAATGCCGAGCGATTCATGATGGTGGTGGTGCTGCTGCCGATGATGACGATGATGACGGCAAGCATGATGGTGATCATGGTGATGATGACGATGCAGACGTTGATGCTGTTGAAGAGGAACGGGATGATATTGGAGACAATGATTCATGACGATGGCATGTGAACCCCCAAGCAGCACCGCAACACCACATGATGTAAACAAGAAATCCTATAACTATCAGTTTTCTCGAAACCGAACTCATGGAGTAAACCGAGATGCCCTTATGGCCCGCAGATGATGGAATGAAACTCCTCCGGTCCTCAGGTCACATGTCGTTAGATTCAGAAAAGAGGGAAATCCCTCACCTGAATCCTAGGCCCTAGGCCCCTGATTAAAAAGAGGCCAACGTGTGACCCCTTATTCGGTTCAATCTGAAAACACCTTGAGCCCACCATGAAAGACGAAAAAAGCCATAAACCACCAAAACTTGAACCCTAAATCCTACGCCCTAAACTCTAAACCCACAGCCCTAAACCGCTGCACCGTACACCCCCTTGAGCCGCCGCCTCTCGCGAGAAGCCAGGCGGCAGCTCTGGAGTGACCCTGACGTAGTCGGAGCTCGACCGCTAGCGGGGCCCTCCGCCGCGGCGTGTCTTGGCCCTGTGTGGACTTGCTGTTTAGGGTTTAGGGTTCTGGGGTATTCGGGTGTTTAGAGGTTTTGGGCTGTATGTAGGGTTTATGTTGGTTAGGGATTTGGGCCTTCATGGGCATTGAACGTGCAGGATTTTGTTTAGGTTTAGGGGCTTCAGCATGAATCAATGAAAGTCTGGCAAACATACGAGCACACGAACATACTTGCTTGCATATCTACAGCAGTGTTTTCAAATGTCCAAATAATATATGGAGTGCACCTTTGCAAGGTTCAAAACTTATGGCTAGAGAAATGTATTTAAAACGTATACATAAGTGTATACATTTATAGAGAGAAAGAGAGAAAACAAGTGAGAGAGAGACAGGTTCAGCTACATACATGTGTATATTTAGAGGTAGGCGTGTGTAGAGGAAGCACAAAAGAACTAATGTCGTTGTCTTTCATTTCGCTCTGCTATGTCATTCGCGCTTCCTTTACGCTTCGCTTTTCTCCATTACAGCGAAATAAGAGGAGCGAATGAAAGAGAAAGGAAGGAAATTAGGTCTTTTAGCACAGGAAGCTTTTCACCTTGGAATCACCTCATGCTTAGGATCCTTTACAATCTTAGATTACTTCCCATTTCGTGAAGTGTTGTGTGTTAATGAAACAGATAAAAGCACGCTTGCATTTGTCTTTTGCTGTTTGATAAAACACAGCGCTTTTATTATACCTCATTATCCTGTCCGTCAGCTGGCTTACATTCTGCTTCAGGTTGCGAAAATACCATAGTATTATAGGGTTCGGAATAAATAGCAACGTCGTTCTTTAGTGCTCCTTATTATAGATGAATATGCCCATCCAAAAACCTGCCTCCATTCTCCATGAATTATGTCCCGTTCGCTTCAGAGTCCATCAACGCTCCCTTCCTTTGCTCGTAGCTGGCTGTGCAACTCTATACACATATATATATATATAAGTAGATGTACCTCCCTCTATTCTGCAGAGAAAATCCTTGGTCTAGTGGACGGCAGAACCTGCTTCTCCTGTAAGCGTCGAGGTTTCACGGTTAACCTACGCTTGGCATGCACGCAGATGGTGCTCTCCGAGGTTCCGACAGCACTTTGAGGATGTGACTCCGACATGTATTGCTCGGCGTCCAGGCAGGGTGCAGGCTTCTTCTGGCAGCAATGCGGAATCCTGAATCCCGCGTTGTATGGGTACCAAGACTTGGCAGCAAGAGCCCACCATCATCAACCTGATAACCCTATAGAAGGCAACAGCGAGAATAACCACGATGCACCGTACGCATCATTCAGCTTCGCATCCTCGTCATCAGCACCAGCATCATCGTTCTCCGCACCCTCATCCGTACCAGCCTCCTTGTTGCTTTTCATCCACTTTAACTTCAATGATATCCAGAACCATAGTCGCCCGTCCTCACCCTCAGTATTGTTGCCATCAGTTTCGCCACCATCATCTTTGACGGAGTCATGCTCGTCGTTGTCATCATGAAGGCCGTCAGTACAGTTAGCATGGTCCTCAACACATTCAGCCTTTAATGATCCTCCTCCTGCTTGTTCATCATCATCATCATCATCATCATCATCACCATCTTCATCACTACCATCATCGCCACCACATCATGGCCATCAACAGCATCCTCGGCATCGACACCGTCATTGCCATTGCCGTATTAATATTCATCACCGTCATCATCATCATCATCATCACCATCATCACCATCATCACCACCATCAACAGCTAATTGCAGAGGACCTTCAATGTCGCTGGCGTGGTGCATGAGAGACAAACCTTACCAGCATTGAGTCGTGGTCCTCACTGCATGACTCCCGGAAACGCCCGTGAAGTACAAAAAACACAGCCTAAAAGTTGAGAGATGTCATTGCCAGGCTCACCAGTGGCGCATGACACGAGTGTTCGGCGAGAGGCACAGTTCACGGTTCGCGCTGCCTAGATTCTTAAAGACACCGCCTGTACTTAAGGGTGATCATTGAACCTGTTTGTTATAGGACTGTGTGGCTTGGGGAATGAAATTGTGCAGAGTCTTACATTCAGACTGTTCCGTAAGTTATTTCGGGAGTTCTGAATCAGAGATCCTTATATAATGAGGGCAAGTCAGATTTGCTGAGAAGGCCCAACTCGGAATCGGCCTTACTTTCCTTTCTTCATTGCTATTGAGTGTGCAGGTTTAGGGTTTAGGGTTTAGGGCAGGTTTGGGTTGATGGAGGGTTGAGGGCTACATAGGGTTTTAGGGACTCGGGGCTTAGGCGATAGTGCTTATTCTGACAACATTTGGGACTAGGGGCGTAGGGTTTAGAGTCTACCTTAAGAACCCAAAACCTATTTTATGTAGGGTCCCTATTAATCCCATATCAGGGTTTATAATAAGAACCTACAAAAAAGTGGGTTTTGGGTTCTTAAGGTAGGGTGTCGCAGCTCGGACCTGGTTGTGAAAGATGGCCGCGGAGGGCAGAACGCCGTGGGCTTCTTTACTGTACACATCAGTACATTCAGGGGCTATGCCACACTTTGCCGAACTCAGGGTTTCAAGTCCTCAAACAACAAATGGGTAGTTCTCTAAGTTAGGGTTCCTTTTGGGGTCCTTGTTATAAGGGTGCCGTACTATATTGGGGACCCAACAAGGGACCCTATTTTAGAGAACTACATCGTGTTTATAGACAGGCCCCAGTAGGACGCATGCTTCTCCGATCCGGACTAAATGTGTGCTTGCCTCAGCCTTCGTCATCGCCCCTCGCCACACCATGCTCTTGACAGGATGGTAAACACACCGCCGTCTGCGGCCCATGAAACGCGGGCTTGTTTAAAGGAATCCGAGCTGGATGCTGGCTTATGATTAAGTGTTTACGGTGTAGACGGCTCCGTTCTGCGAGTAACCCTATCTGCTAGAGGTGCGGCCACCAGGCTTTCGAGTTCCGTAAGTTTGTTGTCCGAGTACTAGAGTCACAAGAGCTGGAGAAGGATTTAGGGTTTAGGGTTTAGTGTTTAGGCTTCACGTGATTTCGAAGTGGTGCAGCTCACACGCGAATTGTGATCCCACGTGCATTTTGCAAACGTCATGGACTTTCTGAGTACGGCCCCTTTGATTGACAAGTTGAGGGGAAGCCTAACAGTAAGCTCTTGTCTTGAAAGGTGCGTTTTGCCGAACTCCAAGTTACAATCCGCTGCAAGCCTTCAGCTTTTTGAGCAAGGCCAAAGATGACAAACTTAATCTCCTGAACCCTAGACCCTAAACCCTATATGCTGGACCCTCAAGCACCCGAAAGTCTTCAAATAACCCTAAACCCTAAACCCCAAAACCCTAAACGCTAAAACCCTAAACCCTAAAACCCTAAACCCTAAAACCCTAAACCCTAAAGTCTTCAAATCAAAAAACCCTCACACCTTGGCCCGAAGCCTGGCAGGTCTTTGTGTCCTGCGCCGTGCTGGAAGGAATCTTCCTCTGTGGCTACCTCGGTGTACGGTTTAGGGTTTAGGGTTTAGTATTAGGGTTGAGGGTTTAGGGGTTTAGGGTACGGCCTAAGAATCAAAGGACTCATATTTTAAGGCTTTTTGGGCCCAGTGACCCCATTATAGAAGGCTTTTGGGCTAGTTTCGATGCTAAGGGTACGGCTCAGAATCGTTGGGTTTATCAAAGGCAGGCAAAGCCGGGCTTAAGGAACGGGCGTGTATGCATTTTGCGCGTTTGGGACGATTCGGGCCATGCATGTAAGGGTTTAGGGTTTAGGGTTTAGGGTTAAGTGTTTGGGACAACTCGGACCCATTTTGAAGATGCTGCCTTTGCATCCACAAACCACGCACTGCACAGAAGCATGTTGCAAACAAGGAGGAGCTACAATACAGGGGTCTCAATAAGTGCCTATACTATTTTGGGGGTTCCTACCATACAGGACCCCAAAGCCCTACTCTAAGTATTTAGGCCCTAGATTAGTTGAGCTTGCCGGCGTTGAAATTCCTGTTCTTCCCGTCGAAGTCTGCCATCCGGAGCTGACCAAAGCGGTGTGCTTGTGGTTTCGAGAGTTTCCGACACTTTTCGTTGCACCAGAAAGCAGAAGCCGTAGGGTTTAGGGTTTAGGGCCGTTGGGCCGTTAGAACAGAGAGGAGCTGGGTCCCTAACGGCCTGATTTGCCGTTTGTTCTTCCGCGGGTGTTGCATTTCATTGTTCGGGTTTGGGGGTTGTTTAGATTCTCACAGCACAAGAGGAGCCATCCAAGACGAAGATTAAACTACAACATTAACACAGGGGTTTGAAAAGTGAAGAACAATATTGCTTCCGGTTCCCGAAAATCGGTGGAGCCTATGAAAATTACTCAGGCCGCTATGTCGGCTTTGCTTGGTTCCTTCTGTTGAACACTGAAGCTACCTTACCTACACTCCGATGCTTGACCCCTAAGTTACCTCCCCGGCTGCTTAAATCCTCAGCCATCCCGAACTCATTAGTAATCTACCCCCTGACCCCAAACCTGACATTCTAAGCCCTAACCCTGAACCCTCCTCCCCTATTCCTTTTGCCCCTGACCCCCGAACCCCCAACGCCCATATGCTGCACTCTAAAGAGCTGCTGAGGTGTAAACCTGGGCACCTTGTCGCCCCTGATTTTCGAGATGTTCATGCCATCCCGGCTGAGTTTACGTATTTGATGCTTTAGAGGCCTATGTCATTTATATGTTATGTGTGGAGGGTACGGTTTCTTTGATGGCTCAATTGTTTATCTTATCGGGTCTTGCTGCCCAAACGTTACTACCAGACTGCTTGCAACTCCTTGTCATGGACTCAGAGGCAACAGTTTGCTAAAATCAGGGCCGTTGCTGGGGCATAGACAGTCAGCCATGTGCATTTTGACGAGATTTTCTTCAGTGAATAGCTTCGCTACTTGTGGGCGGAAATAGGTTTTGGCTTCAAGCAAGGACTACATGCTATAGCTACGCAGAGCTGGCCCACTGCACCTTGTTTCCACTGCCATTTGTCAGGCCGTACCACCTCAAGTACACCGCGTGCGCCCGCCTTGTCAGCATCACACCCTCCATGGGCGCAAGCAACACTTGTGCCATGTGAACACATGTAAATTCCCTAAACCCTAAACCCTAAACCCTCAATGTAAATGGCCCTTTGGGCTTCGAGCTTCTTTTGATTTACACCCCTGTCCAACATTAGTCCTCACATCTGGTCATGTTAATACCCTGGGGAGATCCGTGCAGTGGTTCGACAACGGTTTAGGGCTTAGGGCTTAGGCTCGTAGACGCCTGTGAGTTGTAGTGTACAGGCTTTTAGGGTAGGAGTGTACAGCTCCAAGAGCACAATCCGTGGAAGTCGTCGATGTAGAGAGGCTGAAGCATAGTCGCAGTGAGTGCGGCTGCTTAGGGCTTAGGGTCCCTGCGAGAGCAGTTTGTGGCAATGTGCAACTTCCTGATCCAGCCGCCTTTCCATTACAATCGCAGTGTGCTTGCCGAAGTCCGACGTGCTTCGAACTGTGCCAAACAGTTTCAATGGTTGAAAAGGTTTTTTAGAAGGTGTTGCGAGTACTTGAGCAGTCCTACCAGGGGACGCTTGGGAATTTGTGAGGCGCGCACGGCGAAGCTCTTAGTGACGCCTTAGTGTCTTAGTGTGTCTCGCACACCCTCACGCGGACCTACAGACACGAATCAACCCTGAGCCAGGTCCGTCCCCCCTCTCAGCCAAGAAAAATCAATCTGAGTAGAACAGTACAAAGCATACACTTTGATATAGCTACAGTCCATAGCCCCTAAGCCCTAAATCCAAACCCTACACTCCTCATACATCAGAGAAAGCCGGCCATTCAAGCAATAACAGTCACCCTGCTTCATGCTCCCAGTCGATGGACGCCAGGTTGGTCTTTGCCTGGTGGGGTGGCACATATCTGGGCTGGCCAGCCCAGAACGAATAAACCCGAAGTCGCGAGATGTCGGACTGCAGATGTTCTGTTCTTGGGGTTTAGGGTTTAGGGTTTAGGGTGTAGAGTTTGGGATTTCGGGCAACCGGGAGGCTGTAGGGTTCTGCAGATGTTCTCTTCTTGGGGTTTAGGGTTTAGGGTTTGGGATTTCGAGCTCGGGGAGGCTGTAGGGATCTTCTCGGGTTATTCAGATACCTTCTCCAATTTAGCTCTGCTCACTGCTGGGCTCAGGTCTGAATGTGGCAAGATACGGCCCATTGGCACAAGGCCTTCCCTGGACCTTGTCTTTCGTACGAATAAGTGCAAATCCTCTTCACCCTAAATTCCTGAATTCATATTGCTACTCGTGTACTGCTCAAATACCCCAAGCTCTCGCCCCAATATTTAATATTGAAGGACCCCATGTAGTCTTTCCCAGTCTGGAAAGGACTTGACAGGGTGTTCTGCCCTGGGGACCTTTTCTGTAGTTGAGGAGGAAGCATGCGGTACCGTTTAAGGGCATAGAAAAGGATCTCTCGTTTTTGTGCTGTGGGGAGTAATGTAGTAACTGACGGGTCGGGAGAACCCCGACCAGCAATATAGGGGCCTTGATAATTAGAATAGGATTTTGGGGCCCGTTATACTATAATTCTAATAAGGAACCCCCCAAGACCCTTTTCGAATTATTAAGGCCCCTACATATTATTTTATTAGTAGTATCGTTATTGTCATTATTATTTTTGTTATTATTATTATTAAGGCCATTAGGTGCAATCAGCTCGGATCACGAAGCCTGGCATCCCCGCCTTTCACGACAGGCCCCCAAGACATCCCAAGGTGCGGGTGCAAGGCTTGAGGGCTTGAAGTGCATGCATTTAGGCTTCTAGCTAGAAATCAGGCATCTTGGTTGCGACAGTCCATGTATAGTGCATCATGCTTTTGAGTTGCGGAGTGTGCAGCCAGGCCGCGCAGAGGTTCCTGTAAGCCCTTGCGGGTTGCCTTCAGATCCTCAAAATCTGGAAAAGCATCTAAGCCTAAGCCCGGCACGTCAGCGATCATGCATCTCTCAAGGATCTAAAGCTATCTATCTGTCTGTCGCTGTCCGATCTGTCCGTCTACCTACCCACCTACCTACCTACCTACCTACCTGCCTACCTGCCTGCCTGCCTGCCTGCCTACCTACCTACCTACCTACCTACCTACCTACCTACCTACCTGCCTAACGTACCACTTTAGAACATTAGTATATTACTACATTATTATTATTATTATGTCGTGTTTTCAATATTTTATATACACATACATGACATGTGCATTCATATATCTGTAACTGTATATGTATGTGTATCTTTATATATGTATAGATCTATATCTATATATATATATATGTGTGTATGTCTTTGCACATATATAGGTACACATACAGATATAGATACATATATATAAAGGTAAATGTCATGTATGTGTATATATATATATATGTATTCAATGGATCGCATCCGTCTATCTATCTATCTATCTATCTATCTATCTATCTAGCTGTCTATCTGTCTGTCTATCGATCTATCTGTTTATCTATCTATGCATCTATCTATCTAGCCATCTATCTATCTATCTATCTATCTATCTAAGTAGCTAGCTACCTTACTTACTTTCCAGTGCAGGCCCCTGGATCCTTGCCCGAACGCTGGCGGGTGGCGCCTTCATGCTAGCCGGAGCACTCTGGCGCTCGCTTTTGCTCCGTGTGTCAGGTAACGGTTCCAGCCAACCCTAACTGTACCCCTGTGGCCTACACCCTACCCAAAAAGCGTATACAACTTAAATACAGGTGAACTGTGGCCCATAGTACTACCAAGTCTAAGTAGAATCTAGCCGTAAACTACAGGAAGAATTAGACAACACACGAAGACTTCGGGCATCCGCATGCAGGGCATAATGATGTTTGATTTGCTCCGACCTCATGCTACTTGAATAGATCGGAGCCCCATCACTCTTGTCTTGGGCCCACGTGAGGCAGTCCTCTTCCATGGACCCTAAACCTTAAAACCCCTACTTACGTCCTAAACCCCAGGAAGCCTGGAAGGCCCAAATGGACCCGATGCGAAGCCATGCCCTCCGAGCTGCACGGGCCTCCTCAAGAGATGACCGGCGCACCGCTCCAGAAACAGCATCAGCAATCAAAATCTCTGTAGTGCCTATTCTCTCCATTGTAGTTCGTTTTTTGGTTTAACCAGTTATATAGTTAGGATCCTATAAGTTACCCGCCAAAATGGAAAGACAAGGGAGACTATAAGTGGGACTGGCCACGGGTCTGGCCCCCAAGCCCTACACCCTAAAACCCTTAAATCTACATGTAGCCGTCTGCCGACAGCCTGAATGCGATCTACGGCCAGGTGACAGGTCTCGTCCTCGCAGATGGCCTGAATGGCATGGGACCATGGCCCTGAGCTTGGTACTTAGGGTTTAGGGTTTAGGGTTTAGGGTTTAGGGCTTAGGGTTTCAATAGGGGGCCTACATAGTTCCTTACACAATTTTGGGGGGTTTCTTTGGCATAGGCTTGGGGTTTAAATAGGTGGCCTACAGAGTTCCCTACACATTTTTTTGGGGTTTCTTTTTCATAATCTGCGCCAAAACCCTATTCTAATTATTATAGCCCCTACATTAGGTTTTAGGTCTTGGGGCCAAATACCGACAGTTTGGGGCTTACAACAGAAATCCCCATGTCAATGATGCTTAGACAACATTGCTGGCAGCACAGTGGTTTTTGGGCTTTCTCCTTAGGTGATGTGGTGCTAGCTCAGATTGAAGATTGAAGGGTTTGGGTATCAGGGATCATGGGAACTTTAATCTATAGGACTTGGAGTTTTAAGCCTAGGAGGTAAGGTTGGATACGGTTACCCTCAACCCTAGACCCTAGACCCTATAAGCCCTAAGCCCTGTAACCCTACAAGCCCTGAGCCCTGCAGTCTGTGCCCTGAAGCCTCAACCCTGTAATGGGTTTAGGGTTTGGGGTTTAGGGTTTAGGGATTGGTGTTTAGGGTGTAGGGTTTAGGGTCTATAGGGTTTAGGGTTAATGGGTCTAGGGTTCAGGGTTTCGGGTTTATTGTTTCGGGATTGGGGTTTAGGGTTTAGGGTTTGGGGTTTAGGGTTTAGGGATTGGTGTTTAGCGATTGGGGTTTAGGGTTTAGGGATTGGTGTTTAGGGTGTAGGGTTTAGGGTCTATAGGGTTTAGGGTCAATGGGTTTAGGGTTTGGGGTTTGGGGTTTGGGGTTTAGGGTTTGTGGTTCAGGGTCTATAGGGTTTAGGGTTAATCGGTTTAGGGTTTAGGGTTTAGGGTTTGGGGTTTGGGGTTTATTGTTTAGGGTTTAGCGATTGCGGTTTAGGGTTTGGGGTTATAGGCGCTAGAAGCCCTGAGCCCTGAGCCTCCGGTCGGAGCCTGCTCGCTACCCAGGCCCAGCTATTGGCTGCTGATCTTCTGCTACTCAGGCAGGTTTAGGGTTTTGGGTTTAGGGTTTAGGGATTATAATCATAGTAAGACTACCAATAGCAGCAGTGTTATAGACCATAGCAGTCTAAATCACACCAATGCACATGATAATGATAAAGGTCAGCCGCTGGCATATGTAATTATATATATATATATTCATGTGTATTTCTACTTATATTTATACACACAGACACACACTCACACAGCAAGGTCAAAGTTAATGAGTGTTGGGGCGTAGTTGCTTTATCAATATCGGCGTTCAGTGCTGCAGGTTTCTTGCACAAGCCAAGGATTGCGACAATCAAGGTTTGATTTGGCGAAACAGTCTTTGGTCTTGGAGGCAATTTGCATAGGATACTTGAGAATTCAGGTCGGGTCCCTTTTGGGAGTCGTGAAAACCAGGATCTTACCACTTGAGGTGTACACAGTTGTCGGGCTTTTTTTGAGTACCACTCCCTCAACGTGTTTTCATATCTTTCTTATGCTGTATGCCTATTCCAAGTCTTAGGGACCCAGCTCCACCCACTACATGAGAACCTCCCAGAAGCCCTACACCCACATGATGTTTGCACCAGATCCGTCCGAAAACCTACCTAGAGCCTAAGGCACCTACTTTTTGTAAGGGTGTGTTTATGGAAGCCATGATGGGGAGCCCTAAGAAGCTGCAGGTTCTTTAGGGTCCAGGTAAACCCTAAAGCTCTTCAACGAAACTCTCAGTTCCTAGCCGGCGTCAGGGATGGCGGTCTTCGACGTCGCGCTGACCAGAAGACAGATGTTACCGCCCGAGCCTGAGCTTCCATGCTGATGGGATTATTGCTGAGGGAAAGCTTACCTGGACCCTAAAGGTACTCCCTTTGTAGGGTTCCTTCTTCTGGTTTCTTTGTATAAGTCCTTAAAAAGGTAAGTTTTTTGGTGTTAAGATAGGGTGTACTTGGAGGATCATGGGACTTAGTAAGTAAGGTTATAGCTACCTTAATTGGGGTTATAAGTCTAGTTACCTTATTTATAACCCTAGTTACCAAGTCCCATGATCCTTGAAGTAAACCCTAAACCCTAAACCCTAAACCCTAAACCCTACAGAAAGGGCTCAAACCCTAAAGTCCCTGATGTTGGGATTGAAATCGGATGCCCGGGACCTGGCGGCAATCCAATCTCGACTTCCGGCTTCGTTTGCAGACATGTCCGCTGCATCCCAGACGCTAAACCCCTAACCCCCTAATCCCTAAACCCTAAACCCCCAAACCCTAAGCCCTAAACCCTAATTTTAGGGTTTGAGGGTTTAGGGTGAGCCTCGAAGTTTTTGTTTTTGTCCTGCATAGTAACCGACTAATGGGCTCGTAGGGGTCAAGTTCAGTACGGCTGTCGCAACCCTAGACCGAGAACTAAACTTTAATTTACCCCGAGACCCTAAACCCTAACCCCCCCCCGGGGACCGGCGGTCTGCGACCCCAAGCGCCATAGGTAAACTTAAAGAAACCCATAAACCCCTAAACCCTATAAACCCTATAAGCAAAGCAATAAACCCTAAGTCCCTAAACACATAAACCCTAAACCCTTAAACCCCTAAGCAAGAAACGCCTGAACCCTAAACTCTAAACCCCTAATCACTGAACTCCTACAACCTTATATGAAACGCCCTAAAACCCTAACCCTTAAGCTCTTAAAGCCCTAAAGCCCTAGGCTTTAAGCCCTAAGCTCTAAACTCTAAACCCCTAAATCTGAACTTTAAAACCCTAAACTCTATAAGCCCTAAACTCTAAACCCTAAGCCCTAAACACCTAAACCCTAAAGAAACCCATAAACTCCTAAACCCTATACGTATTAAACCCTATAAGACCTATAAACCCCTGAACCCCTAAACCCCTAAACCATAAACCCTTAAACCCTAAGCCCCTAAACTCTAAACTCCTAAAGCCTTAAACCCCTAAAGCCCTAAACCCCTAAGCCCCTAAACCCTAAACTCTAAACCCCTAAAATCTGAACCCTAAAAGCCTAAACCCTAAACCCTAAACCCTATAAACCCTAAACCCTAAACCCTATAAGCCCTAAACCATAAAACCCCTGAATCAAGGCCGTGGCTGCTGAAATGGAAGCTGGGACTGGGACCCAGACCCGAAATGTAGGGGTTTAGGGTTTAGGGTTTAGGGTTTCAGGTTCAGGGTTTATAGGGTTTAGGGTTTATAGGGTTTTTTAGGGTTTCGGGTTTAAGGCTCAGGGTTTATAGAGTTTAGGGTTTATAGAGTTTAGGGTTTATAGAGTTTAGGGTTTGTAGGGGTTTTGGGTTTATAGGGTTTAGGGCTTCTCAATTAGGGCTTATAGGCTTTGGGATTCAGGGTTTAGGGTTTAGGGTTGAAGGCTCAGGGTTTATAGAGCTTAGGGTTTATAGAGTTTAGGGTTTATAGAGGTTTTGGGTTTATAGGGTTTAGGGCTTGTAGGGCTTAGGGTTTATAGGCTTTGGGGTTCAGGGTTTATAGGGGTTTAGGGTTTAAGGCTCAGGGTTTCTAGAGTTTAGGGTTTATATATAGAGTTTAGGGTTTAAAGGGTTTTGGGTTTACAGGTTTTAGGGCTTCTTAATTAGGGTTTATAGGCTTTGGGATTCAGGGTTTAGGGTTTAGGGTTTAAGGCTCAGGGTTTCTAGAGTTTAGGGTTTATAGAGTTTAGGGTTTATAGAGGTTTGGGGTTTATGGGGTTTAGGGCTTGTTGGGATTAGGGTTTAAAGGGTGTGGGGCTAACAGTGGGGCTCGGGGTGCATAGGGGTTTAGGGTTCAGGGTTTAGGGTTTAAGGTTTAAGGTTCAGGGTTTATAGGGTTTTGGGTTTATAGGGTGTAAGGGTTTGTAGGGTTTAGGGTTTATAGGGTGTAAGGGTTTGTAGGGCTTAGGGTTTATAGGGTTTCGGGCATGGGGTATGGGGTTTAGGGTTTACGCACTGGGATTCAGACCTTGGTAAGAGCTCTATGCTTCTGCCCGGGACCTGGGGGCTTTGGGTTTAGGGTTTGGGGTTTGCCGTTTACAGGTGTTTGAGGGACGGGGATAAGATGGGGGCCTGAAAATTGACCAAGACTACAGTTTGGGGTTGCCCTACATTAGGTAGATTGCCTCTACGGCTCTTGTGTGCTTCTTGTGTAAGGCAGTGGAAGGGTTTAGGGTTCGGGTTCAGGGTTTAGTTCAGGGTTTAGGGTTCAGGGTTTAGTGTTGAGGTTAGAGGGGGGTTATCGTTCCCTCTGTCGGGTAACCCGTCACCCTGACCTCCCCTTCCTTTGCCTCAGGCCCCACTCTCCCTAAGTTCCCGCGCGCTCCAGCTTGGAATGAATTTGCAGCAACTTCGCTTGAGCCTACTTGCTCTCCTTGCACGCAACCCCTCCCAGATTCGTGGCAGATTCGTTTCAGCCCGCCCGTTTTCTTCATCCCTTCCCCGAGGTGAGGAAGCTCGAAAACGGAGGGTCAGGTAGCAATTCGCGGATGGTCGAGGGACGGGACATAGAGAGGCGAGGCACCAGGCAGGAATTTATTGTTGTGGGGGCGGCCTAAAGAGTTACCAGCACTATGTTAGGTGTTCCTTAACTTATTATAAGTATAGTATGCTATACCCCAAGACCCTATTCTAATTATCAAGGCCCCTATATTCCTGAACTTTGCCAGTCGCCACTTCTCATCGTTGGATCTCGGCTCGGTCCTGGCTTGCTCGCCGGGGGAAGCCCTAAAGCCTAATACTTCGTACTCTGCGTTGTAGTCGCATCCGGGAACCCCTAAGGGCAAGGTCCCCCCACCCCAACCCAAACCAAGCCATACTGTCGAAGCCTGAATAATTACCAACAAGCCGTGTTCTACTTGTTGGGGCCCCGAATATAGAACCCTATTGTAGGTCCACTGGAGCCTGTAAAGGTCCCGTTAGAGGAGCCCTGCTCTAATCATGACGGCCCCGATCGTATGCTGGATTGCTGTCCTTTCCAGAGGGCCGCCCGAGTCCCTTTCTTCCTAGATTTACCAGGTGCCTGCAGGAATGCGTAGACAAAATATTATATCATGTTTCCTTATGGTATAGTCTAGTCTAGTATAGTACAGTGCAGCATAGTATCGTATAGTATACAAAAGCATAGCATATTCTACTAAACCATCTCTAACAGCACAGCTAGCCGGATTCTTTCGACCGTCAAAAGCTCTGGGAGCCGGTTGTTGGCGGCCGCCTGCCATGACGGAGCTGCAGGAGGCACGACGTGCCCGGGTGGGTTCAGAGTTTAGGGTTTAGGTGTCAGGTTTCAGGGTTTAGGGTTCAGGGTTTAAGGTTTGGGGTTCAGAGTTTAGGTCAGGGTTTAGGGCTTAGGGCTTAGGGTTCAGGGTCTATCAGGGTTTAGGATGCAGCGTTCAGGGTTTCGGGTTCAGGGATGATGGGGTTGGGGCTTTCATAGGAGTTAAGGCTTTGCGTGCTAAAGATTCCCTGAGCAAGACTCAGCAAGCGAGGATTGCCTGTAAGTGTAGACAAAAGTTCTTATCAGCAGGATGTGCCAATCACAAGGACCACAGTTGTTATTGTCATGATATACGTGCCCCTAAACTAGCCACAATGATAGGCGTTGCCGAAGTTGCGGGGTGCTGCTGCTGGTGCCTCAAATGGGGCTAATGGCCTGCCGGGCACATCTGAGGTTTGGGCTTATAAACTTATAAGGATAAGCCCTAAACCCCAATATCGTGCTTTTGTTGCTGCAGTCGCAGGCGGTCGAGGCCTTCATCCAGGCCAACCGCGATCTTAGCCAGCACGAGGAGGCGACTTTTTGTTTGGGTTTCAGGGAACCCTAAACCCTAAACCCCAAACCCTAAACCCCAAACCCTAAACCCTAAACTCTAAACCGTAGAGCCTGGGCCCTGGTTCCAGAATCATGATCCCTTTGGGGGTTCTCGGGAGAAGAAGCAGTCCACCGTGGTCCACGTCCACAAACACGTGAATAAATCTCAGCACCCTCCGGTACCCATGGTATAAAGTCCACGCCGTCCATATCCACAACCACGAAAGCAGCATTTTTTCCGCAGCATGTACTTTATGTTGGGTTTTGTGGGGCTGGCATAAAAAGAGAGGAGAGGGGTAGCAGTCGTAGAGTAAGGATCCTACCATTTGGAGTCTGTTAGCTTCACACCCACAGATAGAACGATAGATTGGCAGGTAGATCTTGTAGAGACAGATGTTTTCTCTCACATACATAAAATCTGAACACTAAAACCCAAAGCCCTACCTGTACGGGCATACATATGCACTCCGCACGCCTGCGATGAAGGCAACCCGGACACTGCGGCAAATGAGCCAAGCACTACCGGCTTGTTTGCAACACCTTGACTCATATATCCGGGTGTGTTTCGGGTTTCATTACGGAGCTTCCACAGAGGCCTTAGAAGGTTCCAATATGGCTTTACGAGGGTTCCATGGGTTCTTTAAAGGTTTCTTGCATGTCCGCATGCCACGTTCTCGACGCTCCCCCAACCCCCCGCTTCCCCCGTTAAACACATGCTCAAACCACGTGCCGGGATTGAGAGACCATGTCCAGCCTTTGTGCATCCCTTCTCTCTTCGATCCTCCGCTGTGAGCGAGGGTGCGGAGTGACCCCAAACCTGAAGGAGACTCATGTGATTTGGATGTGGATCGGCTGACGACAGGAGCGTAGTTGTACCCTGCAAGTAAGCCCTAAACGCCGTTAGCCACTAATCCCAAAGCCCCTCCCCCAAACCCGCAAAAGTAGGTAAAATCATGGCCCAAACCTCTAAAGGGCTACTATGCTGCACACTTTCGGGGTCCAAAGCCCCAAAGTTGCAGTTTCGCAGGGTCAGAGGCCCATTCCGTGAAGAGAAGCCCCATGCCAGATCGAGCAGCAGGGCGTTCTGCGCCGAGGCAGTATGAAAGGTCGGAGCTCAAAGGGCTCAGGGGTTTAGGGGTTTAGGGCTAAGGGCCTAGGGCTTAGGGGTTTCGGGTTAAGGGCCTAGGGTGTAGGCGTTTAGGGTTCAGGGCCTAGGGTTTAGGGTTTAGGATCCTAGGTTTTCGGACGTCGTCGAAGCTTGCCAGCTCTCGACCCCTGAACCGTGCCGGAAACTGCGGGCTTTCGCGATTCAGGTTCCAGCGCACTTAAGATGCTCCGTTAGTTGGCTTCCTGGAGGTTCCAGACGCCTTCGGGCAAGCTCCCTCAAACGTATATTATAGTTCTAAGTTATAAGTATCACACCCTCCAGACCTCAACAAACATCAATGCGAGCTCCCGGCAATGTACTGCGTTTCATCACAACCACTCACCTCACAGGCGCAAACCCTTCCTCTCCGCAACACTTCGGCCTGACAAGAGCCAGCTGTTCATGGTCCTACGGCCTCAAAAACTGGCCCGGTGAGTATGCCCTAAACCTTAAACCCTAAACCCTATGCAAAGTTCCTTCAAGATCTTCTTGAAGCCTCCAGGATGCATTTTTGGGGTTCAGAGTTCGACCCAATTCCTTCATGTCGAACAGCGGCTGCTGCTGCTGCTACTACTGCTACTACCACTACTGCTACTACTCCCTGCTCCTACGACTAGTGCTGCTACTACTACTGCTACTACCACCACCCCCACTACTCCAACACCCTGCATTTTAATTGAGCCACCCAAGTGCAAGGTCTGATACGTTGTTTCAGGTTTAGGCGCTTGAGTTTGTGGATGGGTCGCTTCATCTCAAGTTGTGGGAGGCTGCCACAACGTGCTGGCCGTGCTGAAAACTCGTGCGAAGCAGGCGGCTCGCGCTCTGTCTGCTATGCCTGAAGCCGAAGTCTCCAGCCCTAACTGCTGAAGCATAAGGGTTTAGGGCTTAGGGTTTAGGGTTTTAGGGTTTAGGGTTTAGGGTTTTAGGGTTTAGGTTTCATGGTTTAACGTTTTAAAGCAACCTCTTGATTCTCATGTGGGCTGTACCCAGTAGGGCTCGGAAGCCGAGGTCCCCTAGTCATAGAGGGGCTTACTGACGGTGTCGGGTGTAGCTGCATGGAGAGCTACTAAGCCCTGAACCCTAAACCCCTAAACCCCTAAACTTTAAACCCAGTTGATGCACGGCATCGCCCAGGATCCTGGGCAAAATGAACAGGAACTTGCGATTCAAGCTGTGTGCATAGGATAGCCCCGTTCAGGAGCCCTGAACCCTAAACCCTAAACCCTATACACCCTAAACCCCTAAATCCCTAAACCCTAAACCCTAAACCCTATAGACCCTAAACCCCTAAATCCTATAAACCCTATAAACCCTAAACCCCTAAATCCTTAAACCCTATAGACCCTAAACCCTAATAACCCCGGCCAGGAGCCCTGAACCGAGACCCTTTTTCTCTGCGCCTGCTGAGCAAGAAGCCTTAGTGTAGGAACCTGGTTTAGGGTTTAGGGTTTAGGGGTTTAGGGGTTAAGGGGTTTAGGGGGTTAGGGGTTGAGGGGTTTAGGGGTTTAGGGATCTGGTTTAGGGTTCAGGGCCCTATAACCCCCAAACTGTAGGATGCATAGAAGGGTTTTGAAAAATGAAAGGCTCGTCAGGAAGCTGCTGGCGTCATCGAGGCACCGTATGCACTTTACAGGTAGTTCCAGGTGGTTGACACGTCGAGGGTCTACGGCTTGCACGAATCGTAAAACTGCAATGTCGAGAGCCATTGTCTGGGGTTCAGTGGTATTTTCAAGGGACAGCCAAGTTGCAAGATGCACAAGGGCCGTTCCCAGTGCTTGTCGTCGCATTCGCCCGCCGTCCTCGTCAAGCATGGATTCCGAGTTCCACTGGGGTTTGGGATTCAAAGGGTTTGGGTGCTATGATTTAGGGGTGAATTTGTCAGTTGTCAGGATCTACACAATGTTTGCAGCATCAGTCTGAGGGAAGCAGGAAAGCCGACAACTCTGCATCCCATCTTTGCAACTGGAATAAGTAGACACTCTGGGGAATGTCGAAGCACCTGAGTCAAGAAGTTATGCTGCAAGATGGGACCCTAAACCCTAAACCGTAAAACCCCTAAACCATAAACCGCAAACCCTCACTCATCACAGTCATCATCATCCTGATCCTGGTCCCACATCCTTGGACCACAAGTCCTAAACCCTAAACCTCTACCTCATCAGCCTCATCATTCTCGTCCAAGGCTGCTGTTGTCGCAGTGGGAGGAGAGTGCTAAAAGCAACCGCCGTAATCATCAAACCATGAACCATGCAAAACTCTGAACCTCCAACTCCTTTTTCCCATAAACCCCGAACGCCAAAAGCCCCCAATGCGAAAACTCCGGAACTCTAAAACCCGAAAGCCCTCAATCCTTGAAATCGCCAACCCTGAACCCTACATAGCTGAGCAGCCGGGAATGGGGTAGTACAGAGCAGCCTGAGCAACTAGCAAGAGGATCGCAAGGCCATTCAATTAACATGTTGACATTCACACACACACACACATGTACATACATGTGTGTGTGTGTTTATATATATACACATGTATACAGAAATACACATGCATACAGACATATATATATATATAGATAGATAGATACACATATAACCAACTAACGACATGCATATATATATATATATGGGCATATATATATATATATACAAATATTTATATATATATATATATAGATATAGATATATACACGTTAAATACTGCACCCCAAATCCCAGTCCAATTTGTAAGGCCCCTCAGCGGAATCTTTGAAACGGTCCCTGCTAAAATCGACCCTGTAGTAGCCTCTAAACCCTGAACCCTTAAACCCTAAACCCCTAAACCCCTAAACCCTAAACCCCTAAACCCCTAAACCCTAAACCCTAGAACCCTTAAGCCCTAAACCCTAAACTCTAGAACCCTTAAACCCTAAACCCTAGAACCCTTAAACCCTTAACCCTAAACTCTAGAACACTTAAACCCTAAACCCTGAACCCTAAAACCCTTAAGCCCTAAAGCCTCGAGTCGACGCGATCCCAAAGCCCAGGAGGCAAGGCCGAACAGGCACAGGCCCTCGGGCTGCAGCCCATGTGTGTCAAGGGTTTAGGGGTTTATAGGGGTTTATAGGGTTTAGGGTTTATAGGTTTTAGGGTTTAGGGTTTAGGGTTTATAGGGGTTTACAGGGTTTAGGGCTTATAGGGCTTAGGGTTTCTTAGAAGCCCACTAGCTAAACTTTAAACTTGTTGGGCTTATCTACTGGGTCTATCCTAAAAAGCTTGAACTTTTTTGGGCCTGGTTGTTGAAGAAGAGAGTCAAGGGTTTAGGGTTTATAGGGGTTTATAGGGTTTAGGGCTTACATTACAGGTTTTATTTTAGGGTTTAGGGCTTCTAGGGTTTAGGGTGGAAGGTTTAGGGTTTAGGGTTTATTTGGTTTAGGGTTTAAGGTTTTTGGGTTTAGGGTCTATCTGGACCCCATAAAACCTTCCTTGCAGGGGTTCCCTATTATGGTTTCCTGAAATAAGTCCGTAAAAAGGTAGGTGACTTGGGGTCGAGGCATGGCTTTCAGTGTTTGTTGGTTTTTTTGTCGGACGTGATCGTGGTTTTTGTATCGGGTTTGCGGGGTCGCTTGATGATTAAATTAGGGCTGCGGGGCTGGATGATGGTACAATCACTATTGTTGGGCTTCAGGGGGTGAGGATGTTTTGGGGTTCAGGTTTTCGGGCTTTGGGTTTAGAGCTTGTGGCCTTGAGCTTGGGGTTTGGGGGTAAAGGTGTGATAGGGTTGTTGGTTTGAATACCTCTCAGTAGCTGAGCCATTATACTTTATACTTTTGTTGGGCAACACTTTGTTTTGTATATTTTTTGTCCCTTCTTAACCCAAATTTTTAAAGATGTGGTGCTTGTTCGGCACATAGGTGCCGAGCAATGATAGAGACTTTCTTTGCGTCCTTCCTTCGCTGCGTCCCGGCGAGTGGTAGCTGCTTTTGCCACGGAAGAACTCAGACTCAAGACCTTCGCTTCCTAAACCCCACGGTTTAGGGTTCAGGGTTTGGATAATTTTCTCAAACTTTCTCCTTCAGTTTAGGGTTGAGGGTTTGGGCCATCTGTAATTTCAAGTTTCTCCTTTTCTTGGCCTGACTGTGCCACCACGACGGAGATGGCAACCCTGAATGGTCCCAACAAACATTAGCAAGCCCTCAAAGGTACAAACAGTCAGATACATAGTCTGCAAAGGCTCTGAGCCCACGTCGAGAGCACCAGACCCCAAGAATCCCATCACCCTTAAAGAGAATTCTGCTTGATATGGGCGCCTAACCCTAAATTCTAAAGCTTAAATATTGATCTAACCTGCCACCGCATAAGGTTCCAAGCGGATGCGGCGCCGAAGAAGCGACGCGGCGCCGAGCGGCCCTCTGAGATCGGGTTCAGGGTTTAGGGTTTAGGGGTTTAGGGTTTAGGGGTTTAGGGTTTCGGGGTTTATGGGTTTCGGGGTGCAGGGTATTGTGCTGATGAGCAAACTCCCTGACTATGTATCATGAGAAATGTACGGCGCACGATGGCCATAGCTCACGAAATGCGAGGTACGGTCCTTTCCTCAGCATGCATGTTCAGAGTTTGGGATGATGTTACCCTACGGGATAATCATATACTCTCCCAAATAATAAGCTAGATTACTACTATCCGCAACAAAGTGCCCGATTACTGGGTCCTTTGGACCCTTAGGGTTACATCGTTTCTACAGGTCGGGCTCTGCATTCGAGCATCTGTGAGAGTTGGATCCTTGAGGGCATCTGACGGATCTGCGAACGAGAACTTGGACCACTGAGTGTACGGTTGTTACATACATACATACATACATACATACATACATACATACATACATATGCATGTATACATACATACGCATGCATATGTATCATTACTTATCTATGTAATCATGTATGGTAGTGGGACTGCTTGGGGCGAATCGGTGCCACGAGAATGACATGCGTAACCTATGCCTGACACCCAACCTGGAGCCCTGCGCGCCCCAAACCTAAACCCTAACCCTAAGGGTTCACGGTTTAGGGTTTAGGGTTTAGGGTTTAGGGTTTAGGGTTCAGGGTTTCGGATTTAGGGTTCAGGGTTTCGGGTTTAGGGTTTAGGATTTAGGGTTGGCAGCCGTTCAACCAAGGCAGAGCGCTCAAGCCGAGGGGTCCTCAGCCAGCGAACAGATGCCCTCAAAAACCAAAGCCCGACAACTTCTCAGCCATCGGGTTTAGGGTTTAGGGTTTAGGGTTTAGGGTTTAGGGTTCCACTCAACCTTCAGGCCCTCCAACCCCAAAAGCTGGAAATCCCTTGTCAGCCAGTAAACCGCCAACGCTAAGACGTAGATCCTAAACCCTCTTCCGCAAAGCTTTTGGGGAAGGTCAAACGCTAGACCCTAAAACCTTGAAGCCCTAAAGCCCTAAAGCCCTAAACCCTACACACAAAACCCTAAGCCCTAAACCTTAAATCCTCAACCCTTTTCCTTATCACTTTTGAAGTACGGACCCCGACTCAGGTCGCCAACCCATTCTCGGCTGCTCGCCCTGGATTTGCGGAAATGTCTGAGGCTGCCAACCCTAGTGTTTTTGGTTTAGCGTTTAGGGTTAATATAGGGGCCTTAAGAGTGAGAAAAAGGGTTTTGGGGCCCGTTATACTCTCCCTAAGGGTCCAATGGACCCAAGAATCGGGTACTTTGGTTACGGATAGTAGCAATCTAGCTTGTTATTTGGGAGAGTGTATGAGTATTAGGTACTTGGACCCTTAGGGAAATGT